CGATCTGGATGTATCTGAGAAGTTCAGAGTGGAATTTAACAGAATTGCAAGAGGAGAAGAAAACCATCACTTTCTTTGACAAGTTCCTCTTCAAGAAGGAATAGAGAAGAATAAATCTCTTGGCACTAGGGACAACGCAGTAGCCTTGCTGTAGTCCTTCATTGGTGACCTAACCGTATAATTATTGATATTAGTATCGACAGTGAGTCCTGTACATTATCATATCACCTAGAAGAAAAAAATGAGGCAGACTATTTACCCTCCTCCTTCCATCATCAACATCTATATAGACAGGAGTTGTCTGAAACGACAAGCGAGCAAGATCTTCAACCTGAAAATTATACAAATTTTCATCAGGTTTCATCAAGTCAGAAATAATCCTAGTTTTTTTTATCCAAGAGGTTAAAGATAATTGATTGGCACTATTACATTCACACAGTATAGGAGAAATATTTTCCCAAATAATAATTTAATCTCATTATATGCACTACATATCTTTATATTATGTTCAAAAGATTTATTATTCGTGTTCCCAAAATAATAGCTAGAACATTTTCTGGAAGTATAAATACCTTCTTCGTTTGTGTGGCAGAAAAGAGAGCTGTTTGTCTCACCTGTAAAGTAGATAGCACATGAGAAAATTCCAGAAGTATAATGCATGTCTCTATTGTTCAAACTATGAGGTGAATGTGCTTCTCACCATGGCAATTAGATTAAGCCCTCAGCGTAGTATTCAGTGATAGCAGAACAGAATACGACTTAAAATAGATTTGTTAAACAAGAAATTTGTATTCAAGAAAGCAGCTCCTAGGTATGGTAGAGAATTAACTCAACTAAAGTTGGAACAATAGCTGGCGCAGAAAGCAATTTTAGATATGTAAACAAACAGCTGATCTTAGCTCTGGCTATTAATACCTTAGGTAAAATTTTAATGATTTGCTTCATTTCCTCCTCAAAATTTGCTTCCAAAATCCTATCAGCTTCATCGATCATAAGGCACTGCAAATCCCAACACGAACACAGTAGTCAGGTCAAGAGTCCTTTTGTCCATAAGATAATTTTAGTAAAAAGAGGATGAGGCTGCCTTGTTGAAACTCTCATAAAAACTAAAGAATATGCGACTACAAATGACAAGTTGAAGCATGAACAGCTAGATATATACATGTGTGTGTGTAACAGTAGAATATTAAAAGCCATCCTTCTGAATGAGCTTGTGACCTGTGGTGCGTGATGGTAAAAACCCGCTAGCTCGTACAGGTAAATACAAATAAAGAGGATCTCATAAAAAGAAATCAGACCTTTAAATTCTTATATATAAAGCCTTTGGTGTTCTGAAGATGGTCAAGAAGTCTTCCAGGGGTTGCTACCAAGAGATTTACTCCTTTAGCGATCCGCTCTGCTTCTCCTCTTCTAGCAGAACCCCCAATCACCAGTCCAAGTGTTTGAGAATGATACTTCAGGAGGTCCTTTGCTACAGCATGTGTCTGTAACATAAAATTGGTCCAACGAAGCAAGAATCGAAACCGAAAACTAACATTATCTCTCAGGCCAAATGCAGTCAACACTAATTTTCAAATGGCGACTTTTTAGACCAGTTGAGAAACCCGTTGCATGGCCAGCTCACAAAGCTATACGAATTGGTACAAGAGCACACAAGGTTTGCAGGTCAATTGAACTAAAAGTGGATTATCAATAGATGTTATTTAATTGTGATTTGTGAGATACATGCTTTCAGAGTATTTCAAGTTTCAACATCTAAATTGTTAAATGGAACACACATACTCAGTGAGGGCATAACCCCAAGGAAAAAAATTCACCAATCCGTCCATCCTGGCGTGTATAATGTTAGAGTTCATCAAACGGAAGGTTCAACCAGCTATTAAATCAGGGCTTGTGACTTCTTGGACTAACTACACTAAGTTCAAAATTTAGCAGTTGCACGTTTCAAAATCAAGTCAATACAACACAGCCTTATTTCTATACCTGTATGGCCAACTCCCTTGTCGGGCAAATGACAATAACGCCTGTCCCATTTCGAGGAGTAAAACGGATGTTGTACAACAACTCAACAGCCGGTACCAGAAAGGCAAGGGTTTTCCCAGACCCTGTCCTTGCAGCTCCAAGAACATCTTTGCCTTCAAGTAGCGGCGGTATCCCTCTAGCTTGGATCTTCATATAACACAACAAAAGTAAACACAAGTTCATCACTAAAATAAGCACACAAGATTTTGTTCTTCTACAGCTAAGTTATGTATTTCCATTTACGAGTAGAAAAATCTGGACCCCAAGTTTCTTGCTCGCTGAAAGACAATAATATGATATAATTTTACCTGAGTCATGTGCTGAAACCCCAAGTCTTTGATGGCATTCATGGTGGGCTCGGAGATGGGCAGGCTGGAAAATGCTTCAGAGCTCATGATCCCTTGCGACCCGCTTGCCTTGGTCTCTCTCTTCAAACCAATCTCGTCCAATTCCTTCTCCTCTATCTTCAATTTATTCTTCTTCTTCTTCTTTTTTTCCTTCTCTATTGCAGCACTTTTCTTCACAGCCTCTTCTTCTTCCTCCTCGCTATTTTCATTGTCTTCTTCGAGCTTCTCCTCTTCTTCCTCGTATTCCTCGAGCTTCTCCTCTTCTTCCTCGTATTCCTCGAGATTTTCCTCTTCTTCCACTTGTGGGGTTTCTTCAATGTTCTTCTTCTTTCTGTTTCTCTTGCGCTTCTTCCTTGTGGAATCGCTAGCTCTGTTTTGCTCCTCCTCAGTGAAGGCCATGTTGGTGGTTGAGGGGCGGCGGCGGAGAGGGAAGGAGAGAGCTGTGGTTTGGACTGCGGAGAGGTTTATCAAACTTTTTTTCTATTTGAGCCGAGCCGATGCTAATTTTGCTTCTATTTGGACTGCGGAGAGGTTTATCATTTATTTTTATGTTTTATTACAAACGTGTGTTACACGGGTGTTTATTAATTTTTTTTCTTAAAATTAATAAAATAAATTAAATAAAAATTAAAATACTTTATATATATATACATATGCGACTTATATTACATGTGTTATATTATAATAATTTTTATAACTTATAACATATAACTATATTGAACATGAATATATTAATTGAGAACTAATTTTGCTAACTTATAACATATAACATGAATATATTAATTGAGAAATAAATTTATTTTTGTAATTAATTTTAATAAATATTTTTTATTATTGTAAAGATAAATATAATTTATTTATTTTATATGTAATATGGATGTCAAATCGAAGCTAATCAAAAGATGATTAATTGTACATTATATATGTAAAACCGATAAAAATACAAAAGTTATCAACTTTTAAAATACATTTACAATTCAACAGTTATAATAAAAAATAATATTAAAATATAATTAATACATCTAAAATGATCATAAATACAACAACATATTTATGGTAATCCAAACTTAATTAGTTTTGGATTTGAATTAAATTAAAATTTATCCAAGCCAAATAACAAAGTATAGAATTTTGACACCTATGTTTCTGAAGCATGCG